TTAAACTCCACGCCAAACATTTTTGTGAAAAAAAAATTATGTTATTACGTAATATTTATTATTAAAAATACTCTATATCAAAAAAATTTCAATCCTATACATTTTTTTTATTAACGTATAGTAGTATTATTAAAGAGTGAATTAAACATAATAGTATAAAAAAATTGTATAATTTATTTAATATATTCAATTTTGACGACGAATAAGAAAACATGTAAGAATGTTCCACGTTGTTATATTCATTAACTATTAGTCATAACTATAAAATTAAATTATTTATTTTAATATTAGACTCTTGTAACGAAACGACTTTTACAACAGTTTGTTCGAACTTGATATTATCTAAGACATTTTTTAATTTTATAAAAATCGGACGGTATTTAATTTTTTTTTTTTTTTTTTTTCATTAAATTCGATAGCAAGTATAATAATAGGTAAACATTTTTAAATAGCTTCTCCTAGTTGGAGAAAATCATGCCATAAAAAATATTGTTAAGAATAAAAGGTTGACAATTTAATTTAATTTATAATAAGTGATTGGTAATTAATTGATAGACTTTATTTTATAGTCCCCATATAATTAAAAATCAGTATCACTTTATCAAATAAAAATAACGTTGAAAATGGTACTATTAAAACAGTAAAGAATGATAATAGCATCATTCTTAATAATATAATAAATACATGTACTTTGACTTCTAGTTATTGTTTAATTATTGTAGTTCGTGTGTTACTTGATATTAACTGGAACAACGACGATAAAATCGCAGCTAGTGATTCGCAATTCTTCAAAGCACTAATTAATAAAATGATATGAAGTATATTGAAAAGAAGGAATTTATTGACAAAAAAAGGGTATTTATTTATAAGCAAAATGTAAGCGGTTTTAACAAATGTAAGTTTTAGGCTAAGTGATAGAACACATGTTTCAGTTAGAAAATATACAGAGAATACACAGATGTAGAGTATAAAAAAAAACTAAGGTGATAACTTGAGAAATGAAAATAATTAAGTAAATTTGAAAGATATGGTCTTTTGCCTTTATATAATAGGCAAACAATAGCATAAATGGAGTTTCTGGCAACCATGGATGTGTCATATTTTTTACTGTTATCACTAGTATTAGATTATATTTATAATATTAAATATTAGACTAATATTTAGATATATTCGTAATATATAGATATCTGAAAGAGCTGAAAAAGCGAGATGGCCCTATGGTATTAGTCCCTTTGTGTGTTTGGTTCAATAAACGTACTAAAGTTTTAATTATTTTTTAGTTTTTTGGTGCCACAAAGGCGCAAAGAAAAGCATTGACTCATGATTACCATTTACGAAGTTTGCATAAGGAATGCGACTTAATGGCCAACAGCTTTATAAATTTGAAATACGGTATTTTAGTTCAAAAATGTGTCTAGAAAAGAATATTATATAATTAGAGTAGAAAGATAAAATATCTTACTGTACTAGCCTTTTTTCTTATACAACTTTCTTTTAATTCGCCTATACAGTACATATAGTTAATTGTATTTTGTGCATCGAAAAAAAATATATTGTTTTATTAGAAATTAATACTCAAAGCCGTAGAAAATACTTTACTGACTTTTTATCTTGAAAATTTTGTTCAATGCAAATAGACCAGGTTCCGTTTATTTATTATATCCTATGTAATATTTAAACTCTCACAATTTTTTTATTAAACAATAACAATACTTTTAATTACAATATTATTTTCAATTAAATTAAATAGAATCATTTGAGACTAGTATCAAAATGATTCTATTACTCTCTCTTTTACATAAATAAAAAAATTAATTTTATAAAAAAAATTTCTAAATAAATAATGAGATCAAAATTGATGTCTTGTTAAAAAACCAATAATTATTCTTCATGAAAAAAAACAAGTTAGAATAACAAGAATTACGTTTATATTATTATTACGTATTATAGGTAATATATTTACATTTTAAACTCTTTTAATTGGTTCTGAAAATATTTTTATGAGAATCTGCATTTAATTTATTTATTACATACAACATTTCTTTATAAAATTAATTGTAGTTTTCAACAATGAACTATTATTAGATTAAATGACTGAAACAAATAAAGTACATTGGCTACATGAATTCATACTATATTTACGGTTAATGCTTTCAACTTAACATCGCATAAAACAAATAAAATGATAATAATGAAAAAAAAAACAATTGTAATGAAAATTACTATGAGGTTATAAGAATAGTGGGTCATAATAAAACGTTTTCCCTTGAAATATACAGGTTCACAGTACAAGCCAGAACATTACTTATGGATTATTAAATAAGCCCGTTCTCTTTTTTTTTGAAGCTCTTCTTTTACATATACTATCTGTTATTATAGTAGTGGTTTTACGGATCTTATTTAGCATAGTAAATTCCTCAAATTATTTATCGGATAGATTTGTCGTACAATATTGAATCTTAAAAAACAAACAAAAGTTAAAAATTTGTTAAGACTTTATTAAACGTTATTATTTAGTATTTTACAAAGATTTTAAGAAAAAAGAAATTATTGATAAATAACTCCGGTTGATTATTTGAAGATTAAATAATGATTTTAATTGTAATATTTTATACTAATTAAATAACAACAAAAATTATACATGAAGGGGACCACAAAAAAACTTGTCGAGGTTCATGTAGAGCGTGTCCAAGGTAAACCAGAGGGCTACGCCCTATTGCAACTAACGAAAGCCACAAATAAACCATTACGAAGGAAATCGATCATTTTAGTTGTCAACTAAAGATTTACCAGGAAATCGAGTCCAATAAAACAGAACATTTGACAAACCATAATTTTTCAAAATCAACCTATTTAATTTTATATTATTTGCAGTTGTGCATAATTACTTTTTGAAATATGTTTTTTGTGGAAACACGAGTGTGTGTTGTTAAAAATTTTTAAAAGATATAGTCTGTATTATTATTATTTCATAAAAATTTTAAAGACAATACATAATTAAATTATTAAGTAAATAACGAATTGAAAAGAAAACTTAATAACCTAAATGTACGCACTATAGTGACACTTAATGATACTATTTATACTAAATAAGTATACTTAATTCCGTTATTTTATCACCTACACGAAGGCTAAATACTTGTTAATTTTCAATGAAATTGTTTAAAAAAGTTAATACTATTTGAAAATTGTAGAACGGTTTGTTTAAACTATTTTTTTCAACGGCGTAGTATCAGTACAAATTGATTTTTAATACTTCTTTGGATGGTTTGGTCGATAAGTAATTCGATTATATACATAATTCATTGTTGTTATGCATTTATTCTGATCACGAATTGATAATTGGGAAATAATATGTGTTAAACAAACCCATTGTGTGCGTGCTGTTGGAGAAAGCTTAACATTACAGATTTGTATACACTGCAGATATGTAATTGTACTTAACTGAAATCGAGAAATGAGCTGAAATAAACAGTCAACAATAGTAATAATATTTTGAGACTGTCATTATAATAACATTTCAAAATAATTACCGGGTCTTTTATACGATTTTCATATTTTTGTGTTACTTTCATTATTCTAGTTCGCACCACTCATATTACTAACATATATTTTAGGGTATATAATTGAAAATAATATCATAGTACATGTATGTTACTATTTTCAAAATATATTATACATTCAAGTAGAAATTTCCCAACAATGATAATTGAATTTCTTGATTTAATTACTAATACTATATATGATCATTGTATTGGATATTGTTTGTAATCAATCACATCTAATTTTAATATATTTTTTCTCATACTTTGTTTTATTGAATGGAGAATATGTATTATGATTTGATAAAATCAATGTATCTTTTAATAATAATTTAATAATCTGTTGCATTTATTTTTTAAGACGTAAGATAAACCTTCAATCAAATAATATAACATTAAATAAAAAAAATTATGCAAAATAAATTATTTCTTTAGATTTTTAATACTTGTAATACCTATCTATCTTGTCAATGATATTATTAATATATTAAACATTAAAATATAATTTGCATTGATCAAATTATAAAAATACATAATTTATCATTTTTAAACAAGGGTCATTACTTAGCTTTAGAGATCATTAAGTTTATTGTAGTTTTTTTTTATTAATATTACCCAACAAAAGTTATCCTTAGTGTTCAATAAAAGGTATAAATAAACTCATGATAATAAGCTGCAAATTAAAATTTAACTAGTGTATGGTTTTTGTTAATAATTTCTTACAAATGTTATTTATTTTCTTAAATATTATCAAGATAATATTTGTTATGTCCTATAAATATCACTTTACATCTGGTATTGTTAATACATTAATTAATTTAATAAAAATGTATTTTATGAGATTTATTTAGTTAAACTTAAGTAGTGTACTGTTAGCTCATCATATCGAACATCTAATGCCATAATATCGATTTTCGGCATTATGTAAGTGTTTATACAAACTTGTGTAAATACTTACAATAATAAAAATAAATAAGTTATTTCGATTAGTATTAAGTACTATTAATGTATACCTAGCAAATTCCCTGCTTAAACTAGAGTTCGATATTTTTTGTTATTGATAATTCATCAAGAGGATTTATCTATGATCAAAATGAAAACGCCAATGTAATTTTATAGTATCAGTGACAAACGATACATTAATCTAAAATATTTTCGCTAGTCATACAAAATTGACAAACAACACAAAAGAAAAAAAAATGTCTGGAAATAAGTGAAAGCCAAAAATATTATTTGGTATCAAGCAAAAATACATTGCGACAAGGAAAGTGTACAAAATTGTACAGTTTCAGTGTCTCTATCTTAAGTACGTGAATCCGATTCACCGTAGCTAATCACAAAATAATCTACGATCTGTTACAGAGTCTTTATATGTCACATGTGTTTTTTTCAGAATAATATGTGTAATACTAATATGCAAAATTTAAAACGGTATTTATAAGATTTCTTTTTTTACAGACCAACAGAAAATATAAACTTTGTTTCCATTTCAAGTTATTGGTCGTCGCTATCATTCTCATAGCATTTCTATGTTCACCAACTAATTCTGAAAGTAAGTACTTACTTATTAATTAAAATTAATAACCTTATTAAAATATTTTTATGTGTGTATAAAAAATTTAAAAAAAGACATTTTTTAAGGAAGTTTTCGATTTTTTTTTTCTAAAAATTTGAATCCTTTGCAATCTGGTTTAAAGCAATACCACTTAAACTAAATTTTTACGATTTATTCAAAAATAATTCATATGAATTTAATTTTATTAAATATTTTTTATTGCAACTCTCTTCAATTATGTTTCAAAAATTTATAGTCCAAAACATAGGTATTTTATATTATATGATTGATAAATAAATAGATTACATAATAGATTTAGTAACAGTTTATTCTAATAAAAAACTGTATCACTTATCGATATTAGTTTACTTAAAAATGACGTAACAAATATATTTTAGCGTCATCGTTGTGTTTATTTTGAATAAATCAAAAATTTAATGCAACAAGTAAAAATCAAAATGATTTCATAATATAAAATGTACTCTCTTGTGTATATGTATAACTTTCATGTTAGTAAAAATGAATCTTGGCGTGATGTATAAGGGATTTTGTTAATAATTAAAGTAATTATATTGACATCAATATATCAATAAATGTGTTCTAAATAATTATCTCCTTAAAATTGAATTAATTTAAACTGTAAGAACTGATCCAAAAATTACCATACGTCAGTATGATAAAACAAACAAGTTGTGTAATTTTCACATAAAGTATGAAAAATTCGTAAAAAAATTATGTATATAAAAATTCAGATATATTTTTTTAAGAAAGTATATTATTTTATGCTGATGGTAATATTTTGAAAATAATATACAAGAACAAAAACTAGGGCTTTCAATGATTTTTTTGTTTTTAACTTAATAAAATGAAGCTCATATGTTACAGGAGAGCCTAAAACAAATTCATTATTTAAGCTTTATATCGTATACAATTTGTATAAATCATTGTAAGTCGCTAAATGTTGAGGTCAGCGTCTATGGTTTTCTCCGTTTTAGGCACGCAATTTAGACATGAGTGGAATTCGCGTTTTATAGAATTCACTCAATACTTCATTCTGTACGCTAATATTGTAGGTACTTTAATTTGTGAACGATAAAGTTTAGTGTTATCTATAATATAACTTTATTTCATGTAATAAACTAGGGGAATTTTATAGAGCAAACTGTAGGACGACGAAGATCTGAAGATTTTGAAAAGATATTCTATATTAAAGTTATGGTCTGTAGTTTCTGCCGGTGACCCACACTTGACGGGCTATTCTCTAACCCGAACTTGGACTTGCCATTGTCCCAGCCCACAATTTAGTGATATTACAACTCTACACGTTTCCGCGTTCTTTCTAGAACTATTTACATGACAGGATATTGTGTTTTTGATTTTACCCAATAACGCATCATTTTGCTAGATTACATTTTATAACTTTAAATAAATAGTTATAACATAACTGTTTAGTAGAGGTGTATGGCGGATCTCGAGACAAAAAAGGCGTCACCAGAAAAATCACATTATCTATCTGTTTTAAGATTGTAATGGCGCCCTAACATTGTGACGAACTCGATAGTGATGAGCCCTAGTCATCTGATTATGTTGACGTTCTCCGTATTATGTGGTAAGGGGCTACGTGTACGTAACCGTAATCGTATTACCGATGCCCTTGTCTTTACTATGTTATAACTCTAAGCTTTAAGTTCTGTTAGCCCTAATTTGTGTGTCATTAATTTATTCGCGTAAGCACTGATGGTGACGTCGAGTTATTACGACCCTTACGACTACCGTCACCGACATCCGTAGACGTGAAAATAAGAGTGAGAAAAAAATACTTATTTCCTAAAGGAGAAAAACTAGCCGTTGGTTGTGTAAAAAGTGCCGCGTAGAGTCCACGAATTTGATATTCTACACCCCTATGGCCAAATGCCCCGTTATCTTACCACCCGACTTCGTTTGTCTCGATGTACACAATGTGTACAATGGCCAGTGCTTGCTGCCGTCTTGACTGTTACATTTGAAAATTCTCGCTTAATTACTAATTAATACACACGTCCACCGCATCTTTATAAAACATCGGTTCGCTAAAAAATTATTTAAAATCGCTCGTATCGCGAAAACGGTCAGTCCACTCGTCCCTTCCTTTACCACCTCATGTATGAAATTTGTATATTGTTTACTGCAAATGGTAACTGCTAATGAGTAAGCGACTGACCATGACAGTTGTCTGCACTTGTCATTATATAATATGAAAAAGATTGTGTAATACTGAGAACAAGGTGTAGAGCGGTGGACATTTCAAATACTGAAATTCTTTGTCATTATCCAACAACAATTGTTTGGCGTAATGATCCACCGCAGCCGTGTTTCTTAAAAAATTGACTATGATTACCTTTATAAGACCTTATGGAAATACTTTAGGAGCCGATTCAAGTGGAGCAGAATTTGGTCACCTGATGTTGTCAAACATATAGTGATGTTGTCACACTATAAACTGTGTGGTAACTACCCTATATTTAATAGTTAATACTTTTTAAGTCTTTTAGAAATTTTTATACGGGTACAGAGATTGGAGTTTTGAAGCCTTGTGATGATGTAGCCGCCACACTAACCACACGATCAATCTATCCTTCCATACACAACTACGCATGAAATATACTTTTGAATAGAAATTATGTATCTATTAATATAATGATAATGTTGACACATAAACAAAATTAATAATACTAATTAAAAAGTCATTTACTTGTTTTCTTGTTTTTCAACACAAAATGTTTTGAAAATATAAGTGTAAAATACTATAATAGAAGTATAAATTGAATACTATTATCTACCACTAATATGCTATATAAACTACTGTTGTTTATTGTTTACTGCAAATAATAGTGTCGTCCGTTTAATTGAATTTAGGTATTATCATTATGATATTGTACACATAAATAAAATTAACGATATTGATTAAGAAGTAATATCCTCTTTCTCAGTAACTCTATGACATGGTATTGATTTAATGATGTTATTGTTTTTACGATGCCCACGATTATAAACGCATTTAGATTTTTATTCTATTTGGCTTTATATTATTAAATTTATATTTATAAATATATAATTATATATTTAGGCGTTGCAGAATGTAGCGATAAGGTGATCGAGTGGTTATTGCGGTGGTTACACTAACCTATGGGTTTAATACTCACCTCTTTATACCAGTATAAAAAAATTAGCTTCAAGACTTAATAATGTGGTAACATCCCTATAATCATCAGGTGAATAATATAAGACTCAAAGTGAGGTTATGTGCACCCTTAATATGATTACACGTCACGATTCGATATATGTAGCCCCATACCATAGCCCTATCACACGGCCCATCGTTATTTAGACGTCACACATGATCAGATGACTAGGGCTCATCACTATCGAGTTCGTCACGATGTTAGGGCGCATTTTACAAATGATGACGTCATCACAATTTTAAGACAGATTGATAATGTCCATTGCTCTGTTGACGTAATTTTTTTTTGTTTCGGGACACGCCATACAATTTATACTTTGTTTAAAGTTATAAAGTTATGTGCGAAGTTTGTATATTACATAAACTTGTCACGTTCCTAACTAAAACAATATTTTCCAATTGACAACATTAGAATCATAACTGTGCGCGTATTTTATTCGAAAAGTATTATAATTGAATAATAAAATATTGAATCATACTTTACACTATGGGCGTACCTTGAGTGCTTTTCCCTGTCCAACATTTACTCATGTGTACGCTAACTTGGCCAGAGGCTAAAATATCCATGTCAGTAATACTATCGATTCTCCCGTGGAAATTATCTCTATGTAACTGTGTACACGTACATATAATGTAATTCTTACTTTCTCTGTTTTTATGCAAATACTACTAAAACTTCCGTCGTCTTCATCTATTAGCCGTTTTCGCTGCAGGACAATTTGCGCGCTATTTTTTTTTCACTCAGAGTCTGGAGCGCTTGCACTGTTTTTTATCGGGATAATTAATGCGATACAAGGTCACTTTTTGCCGCTGGTCAAGGCTCTAAAAGCTTTGATCGCGGAGAGCACTTGCGATTTCATTGATACTGGTTTTCCAAAACGGTCACTGGCATCTAAGCTACTATGACATAATACCGTTAAACTAATAATTAAACACTGTCAACATTTAATAAGTGTATCTATTAAACAAGCCTAAATCACTGACAAGTGACGAAATATTTTTTTTCGTTCCCTTTAGCAGTTTTGGAAAAAAACAATAAGGATAGTTGAGCAATTAAAAAAACATTTCAAATTTAGTTATAACATAATACCTTTATTTAAAGTTTTAACTACAGGCGTTATCATAGCAAATGTTTTTTTATAAAAATAATAAAAACTCAATAGAAAATACAATTAAAATTTATTCGAGAAAAATATTGGAAAGTGAATAGTGTTACTTTAAATTTTTACATTAATTAGCTTATTTTACGTTCGTAACATTAATATGTGATAGTTGTCATTAGATAGATCACAGGAGCATTCACCGGCATACATAACGTATTTCTCAATTTTATGTCAGTGTTGTTGCTGCAAAAAACCTCAAACAAGTTTCACATAAGTTCAAATAAAACTAGATCAAGTCAACTCACTTTAAATATAAATTGGCAGTATTTTTATACTAAATTTTAATTTATAGAAAGCAAATGCTATTATTGGTGTTTGTTATTTATGTGAGAGAAGAATATTTATTGTGTAATTTCTGTTTAGTCTTTTTCTGTTCTTCATATTTTTACTTAGCTTTTTAAAGTCGGTCAATATCATTATAACATAGTGTGTATACCAAACCTTAGGGCGTTAATAAAACTACATAATCCAGGGGTTAAGTGTATTCAGATAACTAAAAAATAAATTTATTTGTACATATTTAAATATATATAAAATAGGTCTTTATTAACACATATCTTCTTTTTATTTTTCTCAAAAAAATACAACAAATTTTAGTAACAAATGTTGAATATTAAATTTAAAAATTCGTTACGTTTTACATTAATTTTAAATTTACAGTGATCAAGATGCAAATGTTCATTCAAGTACAACTAAGATTAACTTATTAAAATATTAATGGGAATTATATCTATTAATTATAGATTAAAGTGTTTGAAAATCGGACCATTTTTTCCAAAACTGAATAAACAATTACACAATCACGACTAAACTTTTCTTTTTTATAAGAAATTAAATATAACAAAATTTAATCTAATTATAATATATATAATTTACTTTTATGAACCACGAGTGCACAAAACAGCTGTTAGTGCGGTCGAACCAGTTTTGCTTAGTCGTTTCGCATATTCCTTTTACTTTTATAAAGATGTGTGTGCAATGCTCTCGTTTCTTTTTTATTTGCATCATATAGTCCCTATATGTAGTATGTATATGATACATGTATTTTATGTGAGCAGAATTTGATAAAAATATTCATATCCCGTTTGATTATTAAATCGGTCTCGATGGCTACGTTATTGGTTATTCAATAATTGAATAACCAATTACTTAATTATTAAACTTAATGAGAATACATTACAACAAAATGACAGCGTATAGTTATTCATTGTGATTATAGTGATTATATTTTAAGTTCAATTTTTAAATATATTTTTTTATCCATCAAATAGAAGTTGGGTTTGTTTCTTTTCATTATGTATGAAAATTATTATTTTTTCATTAATTAATCTAGTTAATTCTTCTTAACATTCTTAATATTACTTACATAACACTCATGTAACTAAAACATATTTTTAATTTATTTAAGTTTGTAAAATCTATAAAATTTAGATTTGTTAAACTTGTTTACTAATTATTTTTCATAATAATTAATTTACTTTAAATAAAAAAAACTTCCAATTTCTTAGAAAAAGTAATAAAAAAATTTAACTAGATACATTTAGAGTAACCTGATGTAAAAGTGTAGCATTTAATAGTAGTATGAGGTAGTATTATTTAATTATTTTTTTAAGCTAAAAAAATTGTCAAAAAATATAAATTAAGTATTAGTAGTGAGATTTGAAATTTATTTAATGAGTAATGAACTGAAAAAAAATTAAAAAAAAACATACTGTTACCCCTCTATTTAGTTATAAAGAATGAAAATTAGTCAACTAAAAAAAAATAAAGTAAAAAATATTGGATTAATTATTAAAATTTTATAAAATAATGTATAAACCTTAATTATTTCAAAATAAGTATAGAATGTGTTCTATTAATGTGACCCCAAATCAAGATTTATTTTTGAAACTCCACGCCAAAAATTGTGTGCAAATATAAATGTGTGTTATTACTTTATATTGATTATTAAAAATACTCTATATCCAACCAAAAATAAATTTCAGTCATATAAAATTGTTTGATAAACATATAATACTATTCTTAAAGAGTATAATTATGAAAAAGTTGTTTTGTATATTAGTTTATAGAGATAACTATTATATAATTATCAAAATAAAGATATTTCAATATGCAGAGTGATTGTCTAACTATGTCTCACGTAATATCTTTAAAAAATACAAGTGATATAAACAAATTTTTTTTTTTAATCATTATGGATCTTTGATAAGCTGTTTCACAAGAAAAATTAAATTTCTATGATCATCCCTTATAAATAGAACTTGTGTCAACTTCAGATTTTCAAATAGCAACCCCATATTTTTTTTATTCGTCATAAAAAAAAAATGTTTAGCAAAAATTAAAAATTATGAATTTTAAATAAGATACCCTACTTTAAAATTTACGATATTTTATGAAAAAATTCAGTAGTGTTTCCAATACGGTCACATTATTATTTTATGTAGTGATAACAGCTACAGGTGTACTGAGTCAACGCATGTAGTCAGAATAGAGCTAATTGATTTACGACATATAACGTTCGAGTCTGTTTATATTTTTTCTTAATAAATCCTAAACTGTAGAGAGCTGTGGAGCACTTAATATTAAATAAAATAAAACATTTTTTGTTACAAAATATATATTTTTTTTATTAAACTAAAGCCAATGGTGTAAAAAAAAAATAGAGTTGTCATTTGAAAATATGAAGTTGATACAAGTTTTAACACCTCATCAAAAATCCATAATGATTAAAAATAAAAATTGTTTATAACACTTGTATATTTAACATGATTCATCTATTACTTATATAATGTATTCAATTCACTCGATGATTTTATAACAATGGTAAAAATGGTGCAAGTTTTGATAGTCATTTACTATTAGTTTATACCTATAAAGTATATAATCTAAAATTTGACTTTTACCCCAGTTACTCTACTTTAAAACTTTAATAGCAACATAACAAGTTTTTGTTTTTTTAATTTTTATGTAACATCTGTATTCGTTAGACATAACAGAGAAAATCGCTATGTATAATTTAATGTAGTTTATAATTTGTAAGAATTAAATGTAAATGTTACCAATAAGTACTTAATATTCGAAAATTATTTCTGACAATTATGACAACTTGATCATTTGTGATTGGCCATATTTTCCCCCTTATGTGGCGTTCATATCTATAACAATATTTACTTCCTACGCTAAGAATTTATGGTCTACACAATAATGTATAGTATACTTCACAAGGTTGACTATATGTTAGTTTGTGAGAGTAATATGTTTTTGGCTAAAATAATTAGTTCATGGCCATCGAATCATATTTACAATGATCATATATTTACTAGACTAACATTATCATCGTGTTAAAATAAATCATGGCGTTAAGTAGATACTTAAAATGTTTTAAATTAGTAACAGTAATAATTAATTCAATTAGGTATAAACTATCAAAAAATAAAAAAAGTAAACGTATTATATGTAACGAAGTGATTTATTAAAATATATTTGTTAAAATCTTATTGATATATTATTACAAAATAAATAAAAGTACTGTTTTATATCTTATATTTTTTAAAATTCTCTTATATCTCTCCACGTTTCTCATTAAAAGACATTTTATCTCTGTGTGACCACTCCCTCAATAATCATTCCCTTCCAATTTAAAATCAATTAACTAAATTTTAAATAATAAGGCCCTAATGTTCAGAGGCAATGATTATTATAAAGTCTTCTTCTTTTTCCTCGCCTTTATCACAACTACTTGGGATCGGCCCCCTTATTCTAAACTTTCACTTTAACTATTTATTTTATAGTAGTATTTATGATTTATTCTAGCGATTAGAAGACGACTGAGACGACCAACAAGTAACAAACTTCAACAAGATGCCAATGCTTCAGATGGATCAACGGTTCCTGCGTCGACTGTGGATATGGAAACATCAGCTTCAGTGAGCAAATTTAAAATTCGTACCCGTGTAGCCACCAGGAAGTCAGGTGTAGATTCTTCATCAGAAAGACACGTAACCAATTCAAAAGACAACCAAGATGAAGGCGGATATAAGGTAATAATTCTAATAATAAAGTCCTCGAGGATAATAAATAAAGAGAGATATACTAGGCAAGATCCTATTGTTAATAAAACTTTTAGAACAATTAAATTTATGTAGAGACCTTCATCAATTATTCTTGGTAAAATAAAATTATAGAGTATCAATCGATATGTGAAAGGAATTCTATGCAACGCTAGTCGAGGAAATACGAAAGCATCAATGTCGATTTTATTCGAAAGAAATCTTTTGTATTTTATACGCATATGAAAAAAACATTTATTATTCTTAGTAAAATTATTAGATTTATAAACATTGAAGTATGAGAAAGAATTGAATGTGTTTTCTATAAACGGTAAACAATAATGGAAATATATTTTAGCTTTTAAATTGTTTTAAAATTTATGAAGATTTAAATGTGAGGTAGTAAATGAGGTCAAAGAAGCAAATTCAAAGAAAGCGTTTTTCAAAAAAAATAGACAATTTTTTTTTTAATTGTTATTTATGTGTTAGCTTTAAAAACGAAGTATGCCGAAAAAAATTATTTGTAATTGATTACAATTAATACAGTATTTTTCAAAATATTATATTTTATGTTTTTCAAATAAGTGGTACAAATAATAAAAATAATTTTAAATATGATTTAATTGTTATACACACAATTAAATGGAAACATCTTGTCAATCAAGTCTTAAGAAAAAGACTAATACTTGTTTGATTTCACAAATGTATTTCTATTTGATAAATTAACATTTTTTTAATTTTACGACGCCTGATGATTATTTGTTTTATTTCGTAATACAATACCACAAAACTTAATCTCAGTGAAAATACTCAACTGATTACTTCATGTGTGACAATTGCGTGTTGGTTGAGGTTATTGATCCTTTACTTTCTTTCGCATATAAATAAATTCTATATCATATAGTTATGTTACATAAAACATACCTACTTTATTGGTCTCACTGTAAGAAATGAAGCAAAAATTTCATACTTCATTATGACTTTTTCAATATACATGTCAATTTTAAACACGAGCAGTGTAAATTTGACATAAATTAACCATTATCAGTACACAAATAAAAAAGTTTTTATCGTTTTTTATCGAGATTTTTAATTGTGTACTTGTCAGAAACTTCCAATACATGCATGTGAAAATTCAGACATATTTTTATCAGTACTATTGACCAGGTATCACTTTTGACTGATATAAATATCATTTCAATTTTGTTCAAATCTATAAAGGAATATTTAGTTTGAATAATGGTAAAAAATTTAAAAGCGGTCAAACATTTGGGTAATTAGTTATTAAGTGAATTTTATGACAAATCATACTATTTTATAATTTTTGCTAACGAAGATTTAATAGATAATCTAGTAGTATATACAGTACATTGTATATATTCATACTAATTTGTTGTTTTGTAATAGTTTAACATTGTTATTAGGATTAAAAATTGGTTAAGAAAATTAAATAAAACGCCTAACATATGAATTATGAATAAACGAGTCACCATAATGATTACAAAATGTTTCTCTCCGGCCATGGCGTGTAAAATTATTGTTTAGGTTTTTTTTCTTTTGTATAAAACTATTAATGTTAAATTAAAATTATCAAGTTAAACAACTTATACAAATGTCAAGGACAAAAAAAAGATTACAATAAAATTAACGTACAAAAAGAGTCTAATAAGTGTTAAATCCACCTACGCTTTGCAGTGAATACAAAGTATAATATATTTGCATTTATTATTTTTATATTATAAAAAATATAATTAAGACTAAGTTTTTAGTAAAGTTTTATAATGAAATAGAAAGGTATTGAAAATAATAGCAAAAAATAAACTCATGATTTTAATCGATATAAATCAATTTTAGATTGTTTGTTATTACACCAATTGGTCTCAATACAGACCAAAAGCTGGCAAATACTTACCAGAAGATATCGATCCCGATTTGTGCACTCATTTAATATTTGCTTTTGGGTGGTTGAAAAAAGGACGACTATCATCTTTTGAATCCAATGATGAGAGCAAAGATGGAAAAATTGGTTTATACGACCGAGTTAAAAATCTTAAAAAAGCTAACCCCAAGTTGAAAACTCTCTTGGCTTTAGGTATGTAATTTTTATTTTTCTGATTTTTGATAAAAAAAGGCGCAATAGAAAAAATTATATCCTCTATACGAAAAATATCTTTGGAGTAGTACTTATCAAAGATTGGCATTGATGTGTTGAAATGTTAATACTAAGACAAAATGTTAAGTTTGGTTACTCTTTTTTTGGCCTTTTTTAGTGAGTGTAACTATTAATTTAATAAATTACTTTTTAATCTGAATTATGTATTGAATTTAAAGTACTCAATTAATTATTACTGATTCAAAAACAAAATACATTAGTATAATTTAAAAATATAGTCAGATTTGTTCTAATTACTTTGACTTAATTAGTAACTTAGTTCATAAGTTTAAAAATATACTTATATGCTTATAGTTAATTTTTAACTTATGTACAGTTTTCAAATTTAACTTAACTTTAATAATTTAAAAAAGTGTTAACTTGCCCAACTTTAGTATTTATTATGTGACTCATTTATTATTTTAGAGTGACTGTCAAATCGTACTATTGTCATTTTTATATTTTACAAAAGAGTCATTATGAATAAATAAATTAAAAATAAAACATTTTAAGTATTACAAAATGTATTTTTTAGGCAATCTTTTTGAAGTGAAATTATTTAAATGTATAAGTTTTAGATCCTATTATTTAATTCTGCACCATTTTTTTAATATTACTTTTTGAATTTTCAACTTATAATTGAATTTCCAACTTCAAATACGAATTTTCTTAGTAATTTTTCTTTTGCTTATCTAACTACAAATAAGCTAATTCGTCAAGAAGAAGTAAAATTACAAAAAAAGAAGTATATATATATATTTTTGGACATACGTCATTTTGCAATAGTGCAACTCAATTATTACCAATTATTATACTTGCTATTATCATTTAATTGTAGAGGAGTATTATTTGATTTTAAAATAAACATTTTTTCCTAATAGTTAATTATAATTTTGTGTCTTTGATAAAATTATTACTTATATATATTTTTATAACAGGAGGATGGTCTTTTGGTACTCAAAAGTTCAAAGATATGACTGCTTCACGTTATGCTAGACAAACATTTATTTATAGTGCAATACCATTCCTTCGAGCAAAAAGTTTTGATGGATTAGATTTGGATTGGGAATATCCCAAAGGAACCGACGACAAAAAAAATTTTGTTTTACTATTAAAAGGTAAAAATTTAATTATAATAGTCTTAGTAATTTCATTAACAATATCTAATTTTACTTTTAGAGCTACGCGAAGCGTTTGAAGCTGAATCACAAGAAATAAAAAAACCACGTTTACTATTGACCGCTGCTGTCCCTGTAGGTCCTGACAATATTAAAGGTGGATATGATGTACCTGCTGTATCTTCGTAAGCTCTAATATTGTACTTCTGTCTTATTCAATTTCACACTTGTATGAATAATATAATTTCAATTTAGCTATTTGGATTTCATTAATGTAATGGCATATGATTTTCATGGAAAGTGGGAAAGAGAAACTGGACACAATGCTCCATTGTATGCACCATCATCTGATTCGGAATGGCGCAAACAATTAAGTGTTGACAATGCTGCTTTGATATGGACAAGAATGGGTGCGCCTAAAGACAAACTTGTTATAGGTATGCCAACATACGGAAGAACTTTTACCTTATCTAATCCAGCCAATTACAAAGTAAATTCACCAGCATCGGGTGGTGGTAAAGCTGGAGAATACACAAAAGAATCAGGATTTTTAGCTTATTATGAAGTAAGTACATAATTAACATGATTATCATAATAATAATTACGGAACGGATTAAATTTTTATTTATAATTTCTTATCGAGTTATTCTGAACATATAATCAGCCAGTACTAATTTTTAATAGTCGACTTGAAACTAACTAATGTTATAACTGGGGTTATAGTTATGGATGGCTTAGGGAATTATTTCCCTTAAACCAAAAATATTTCTACGCTACTGTATGTAACTACAACTAAATTACACAAACTTCATTTTCTTCAAAGTGGTTCAAACAAAATGCATAAATATCTAAAAACGCGTTACTTGATAAGAATTAAGCACAAAATTTAATAATAATTAAGTATTTTATACAATTACTTTACTTAAATATTTATAGTTATTTTTAAGTGTTTGGTAATACTATAGCCGTTATAATATAAACTTATTCAATGAATATATTTTATATTCAAGACTCTAAAAAATTATTAGTTTTAATCTTTTATTACAAAACTGACTAATTTTTTTAGAACTTTTATCTTAGAAGTAAAAATAATTACGTTTTAGAGATTTGATTTATATCATAATAACTAATTAATTTTATTTAGATTTGTGAAATACTTCGTAATGGTGCATCTTATGTATGGGACGATGAGATGAAAGTACCTTATGCTATTGCGGGAGATCAATGGATTGGATTTGATGATGAACGTTCGATTAGAAATAAAATGAAATGGATTAAAGATAACGGTTACGGTGGAGCTATGGTTTGGACAACTGATATGGATGATTTTACTGGAACAATATGTGGTGGCGATATTAAATATCCATTGATTGGTGCCATGAGGTAACTAATTTGATTCTCAGTTATCAGCATATATTTTAGAATCATGTATAATATATCATCAAAAAATGAAATACTTTTATTTTTATTAAAGAGAGGAACTTAGAGGAATAAAAAGAGGAAAAGAAGACATTGATTGGTCTAAGGTTGCTAATAGCATTACAGTTGATTCTATTACTAAACCATCACCCATTAAGATAAGTGTTAGTGAAGTTTTAGCAAAATTAAAACCATCTAAAATACAAGCTTCTACTGCTATACAAACTGAAGTTGTTGATATGAATGGTAAATTTACCAAATTTATATTAAATATTTAAAGTATAACTTATTCAAATAGTACCCTCTTTTTATCATTAAATAATAATTTTTTCATAAAAAGTTTATTTATTTTTATGAACCAAGTAAATACCAAGTTTATTGTAAGAATAAATTATTTCTATGGGTAGATATTCAGGATAATTTTCAAAAATGTTGAATGACTAAAATAGTAGTAATGAAAACTAGTTATGTTTTGTAGTATTACTTTTTGAGTTAATATAATTTTTAGTTATAGATGAAGGAGGTGCATATTGATGAAGAAATCTTATCTGTGTGTCGTCGTAAAAATTGTTCCTCGTTAAACACTATCCCGCTCCTCGCCTTTTCTAAATTTTTACATGCTAATATTTCAAATTGGTTATCGACCAATTGGTTATTAAAATTTTATTTAATCTGTATTCCGTTTAATAGTTAATAAATAATAAAAGGCTCTTATTTAACTTTAAAAAGTTACCACTCATATCTATCGTTAGAAATAATTTCTTCTCGCAATAAACTTAGTACTTACTATGGTTTATAAATCAAACTTTTAATCTGTATATTTTTATGAACAAATAATTACTTAACCATAAAATTAGGCAGTATTCTTAATAAATCACGCTGTATAATTAATATTTTTCTTTTAACGTTTTATTTCAGTTCGCGCTCCTCAAATGATATGTTATATGACAAGTTGGTCAGTTAAAAGACCAGGAGCAGGAAAATTCACCCCTGAAAACATTGACCCTATGCTATGCACACATGTTGTTTTTGCTTTTGGTACATTGAAAGACTTTAAATTAACCTATAGTAGTGAAAAAGATATAGAACAATATAAAGAACTTATAAATTTAAGAGAAAAAAATCCAAATTTGAAAGTACGTTTAAAGTTTCCTAAATATTATAAACATAATAACTACTATAAATTAGATACTTGCATTGGAATGTTTAATTTTAAATTAGTGTAGATATATTTTAGTTTTTCTTTTATTTCTGAAACCATACGGTAATAAGTTTAAAAAGAGAGCAATATTTTATTAAAATTTGCAGTTTAATTCTTGTTTAAATAATCACATTTATATTTAATAGATTCTTCTAGCTATTGGAGGATGGGCCTTTGGTTCAACACCTTTTAAGGAGCTTACTGGAAATGTTTTCCGTATGAACCAATTTGTATACGAAGCAATTGAATTTCTTCGAGAACACAAGTTTAATGGTCTCGATGTTGATTGGGAATACCCAAGAGGAGCTGATGACAAAGCAGCATATGTAAATTTATTGAAAGAGTTAAGATTAGCATTTGAAGGTGAATCTAAGAGTTCTGGATTACCGAGATTGTTACTTACCGCCGCTGTACCTGCTAGTTTTGAAGCTATAGCTGCTGGGTAATTGAATACAAATTTTTAATTGTTAATTGGTATAATAAGATAAGAGTATACTACTTTACTTCTCTAGGAAATTTCACTTTTTTCTTTATGTATTACTTAAAATAAAATATCTATAATTTTTTTTTGAAGTTATGATGTAGTGGAAATTTCGAAATACCTTGATTTTATCAATGTTATGACGTACGACTTCCATGGGCAATGGGAACGTCAAGTAGGACATAATAGTCCGTTGTATCCATTAGAAAGTGCTACAAGTTACCAGAAAAAACTCACTGTGGTAGTTTAAAAAATATACTTTATTTTCTAAAAAAAAATTTTAAGTGAATTTTTTGATAGGATTATAGTGCTAGGGAATGGGTAAAACAAGGAGCACCTAAAGAAAAACTTATGATAGGAATGCCTACTTATGGAAGATCTTTTACATTAGTTGACCCTGCGAAATTCGACATTGGAGCGCCTGCATCCGGCGGTGGTTCTTCCGGCAAGTACACATCTGAAGCTGGTTTTATGGCATATTATGAAGTAAAAAGCTACCATGCTTAAATTTTTTTATATTTATCTAAATGAATAATTTGGTTTATAGGTTTGTGACTTTTTGCACGTTGAAAACACTACACTTGTCTGGGATAATGAACAACAAGTGCCATTTGCTTATAGAAAAGATCAATGGGTTGGCTTTGATGATGAAAGAAGTTTGAAGACTAAAGTAATTAAACTACAACTGATTAAATTTTTAAATATATAATTTACTACTTTTTCGGTTATTTAAAGATGTCTTGGTTGAGAGAAGAAGGATTTGGAGGAGTTATGATTTGGTCTATTGATATGGATGATTATCGAGGAATTTGTGGAACTGGTAAATATCCCTTGATAAATGCTATGAAACAAGAACTCAATGGATACACCGTTAAATTAGAATACGATGGACCTTATGAAGCAACCGGAAAAAATGTAGTCTATACAACAAAAGATCGTAAGTATTTAATCACGTTTACATGTTAATTATATTGCCTATGTTTAAGGAGAAATTTATAATTTCTAATTTCGCTTAGCTACATCTGTGACTTGTGAAGAAGAAGACGGCCACATATCTTATCATCCTGATAAAGCAGACTGCACACATTATTACATGTGCGAAGGAGAAAGAAAACATCACATGCCATGTCCATCAAACTTAGTTTTTAATCCAAAAGAGAATGTTTGCGATTGGCCAGAAAATGTTGAAGGTTGTATGCAACATACTCCCGCCCCGCCAACATCCAGACGATAGTGTCATCAAGTCCCGTAGTTTTTAATTTTTTGTAAATAATGATACAAGTATTTGTTATAGTATTTTATTTATATTTACTTGAACCTCAACCGGTTAATTTTTATATTTATCATCGCCAGTATAAGTTGGATAAATTTTAAGATTGATAGAAATAGTAATTGTAATTATTATGTTGTAATTACACATAATATTTAAATCATTTGTGAAATAATGTGTACATTTAATAACTTATTATAAATAAATATATGATATGCAGGGCCCAGGGATAGAACGCGTAGAGTCAATTTATTGGAATTTTATTTTATTTTTGCTTTTTGTTGGTCTAAAAAATATCAATTTTAAATAATAATAGTATAGAGAAAACTTAATTTAAAAATATTAAGAAAAAAAAAAATAAACCATTTTTAATTGTAAAATATTACATTTAGTTAAAAATATTAAATTTCAGCTTGATTTTCAAATTTATGACAATACGTGTTTTATTGCTGGACTCGCCATAAAATGTTTACTAAGTGTATTATTGTTTATTTCTTAAATATTTTTTTGATAAAATATTATGTTTAGAATTTATGCGTCGTATTACGTTATATAATAATCATGATTTATGAAATAAATTTACTTAAGTAAAAGTCAACGACTAACATTTAAACAAATATCTATGAAGCAAAATATCAATAAAATTCTTCTACAATAGACTAAACAAATTAGACAGAACGGTATAAATAGAAAATCTTATTTGTAGAAAAAATATAATCCAGAGTAATATAAGGAGCGCATTATTTATAGGGGTTATAATTAGTTTGTATTAAAATTGGTTTAAAATATATAACACCTGAATTTTATAGTATCTTGGACTGTAAAAATATTATCATCATAGCCTTTATTCCAACCATATTAAGTAAGCTTTATTTTAATTTGACAATTTGATGCAATTTTACACAGACTATCCTCCAAGCGCAATTTCATTATGGCTGAGGACACCAATATAAATATAAATATTAATATTCGCAACAAAAATCAAACTGATTATTTTTTAAATAGTAGATACCGTTTTTAGTAGAAGTTTACAAAATATTAAAATATAAAAAGCTATAGCTAATAATAACAATACATTGCAATTATAATAACAGAATATTTCATTTTAAGTTTTGAGTGGTTATTTCATTAATCTATACACAATATTTAAAAAAAACACAAAAATAATATATTAACTTAAATAAATAATAATATCTTCTGAGTGTTTTAATGTATTCAAAATTTGGCGCTTAATTGCTAGGTACCTCAACTATTTGATAATATCCTATACCATAAATGCAGAGTTTACCATATAATATTTTAACATGGAGAGACAGAAAAAGATTAATCAACTCTAATAATTAACCAAACTCCTGAAATTTGAAAAAGAAAAACCCAGCACAGCGGAGCGTGGGGTCAAGNATATATATATATATATTAGCGTGTACCTTATTTGACCAACTTTATAAAATCGAATGGAGTCGTTGTCTAGTATGTCTAGTCATTTAGCATCAGTCTTAGGTAAATGACATGATTTCTTTTCGGCCTCTTTTATTACTGAAAAGCACTACGATGTCTTCATTTTCAGAACTTAATATATTTTCCTCATCATCGCTTGAAATACTATTTTCCAAGTCAATATGTTATATGGGTCTGAGAAAAAAATAAGATTACAAATAATTGGCATTAATTTTTTTAATTTTTCAGGAATTAATTTATTTAACAGGATTTATAGTAGATGTTGGATTCAACATTTCTCTTCTTAAGCCTTGTTGAGCTCTCCGCTTTTCAATTTCACTCAGTTTTTTTGTCTACGCCTCCCATACGACCCTTTTTGCCTATGTAGAATTAAAAACTGTTTATCCTCTTTATTAATTTAAGTGATAAGATTATTATCATCTTTTACATAGTATCAATAATTTAAAAATCATTGAAATGAGGCAAAGAAAAACTGAATGAAAATATGATAAAAGCTGATAGATATAATTATTTAAGTTCATATATTTACAAACAAAAGTTATTAATAAATATTATTAACAAAAATATAATTGAAAACAATTTATTTTGAAATAAGAAAAAGTTATAACTATTTTTCAGTGTTATAATAATTTTACTAAAAACATTATTATTAAAAAAATTAATTGTGTCATAAACAAATTAAGATACTAAAATTTCTCTAGGTATCCTCGGTTACTAGGTAGCGCAGTGGGAAAGCTCTCGTCATGATGGCGAGGTAAATTAGGTTCAAATCCCAACCACTGAAAAAATTTTGTTTCATTTGTAAATTTTATTTAACGCAGCATTTGAAAATAATTTATTCAACAATTATTTTGAGTAACAAATTAAAAACTACTTAGAAAAACGTGCATATTGTGAAATAATTTTTAGTTTTTTACAAAAATTAAGTTATTTTGTTTACTTTAAACCCTTAAATTTCAGTATTATTGAAAAATCATAATAACATTTTTTTTAGTTTTGTATTTTTAAATATATTTTAAATGTTTGAATTTTGTTGTATTCTCAATGTTTAGAGAGATATTGTCGAAAAATTGTTTAATAGTATTTTTTAATTTTTATGCAGTCAATGATATGTAAATATATGTAAAAATATTTTATTTTGCTAATATGTTTTCCTTCAAAATTAATTCTACAGTTTTTTCCGTCATCTTAATATTTTAAAAGATAAAAGATATTTCTACTCCTTTTTATAATTTTTCAACCACTTTGAGGCACGTGAAGGAGTTGACCTTGAATACTCAAATTTTACAACAAAAATTTATTTACTACATAAAACAAAAAATATGGGGTTCTTCCATTCAATTTTTTTAAATTTGGTCAAATAAGGATCACCCTAATATACAGGAGGATGGAACGTATCTAACTGACAATGCATATAACTTATGATCTACATAACATTTTATACTTTTTTTTTTTTTAATCAATTTTTACAATATAGAACTATATTTAAAATATGTTTTTTGTTATTTTTCGCAATTACAAAAAATATTTTAAAAATTAATTTTTTTTTTTAAGATTTTAAGTTAGCCATTTTATAGATAAGTTTTAAAGAAAAATTTTGATAACAAAAACTATTATTTTAATGCAGTAGTTACGTTTAAACATTTTGAAGTTTGTTAAATTTTGATTTTTTTTACAATTTTCCTATGGTATCAAATGTCAGTCCAAATTATGTAAAGTACAGAAGTAATATTATTTATCTTGTAACAGTACACGATTTCTTTTTCATGGATAATAATAACGTTTAACGCGCTTAATACAGAAATGATTAATCTCTAATCTTTATTAAAAAAGTTAGAAACATTATCACATGTCAACTACGAGTGTTCCATGGTTGGCCAAGTTAAAAGTGATAACAATTATTAATTTGGGTGATTCAATTATTGTAGGTAAAGACATTGTGCATCTTTAAAAAAAAATTATATTGATTTGATCATTTTTGAAATAGTTATGGCAGTTTTACGTAAAAATAATTGAAAAAATGTCGAACATTAGCGATTTTTAAATTTGTAATTTTTTTGGAGATTTCTTCCATTTACGGAGAACAAGTGAAATTTTTTTCAATTTTCGAGGGTAATTTCTTGGACTAGGTACGATTTGTGATCTTTTTATGTATCGTTGAAAGATATCGGTTCGGAGAAAGCTGATAAAAAGTGATAACAGGCACAAAAAAGAAAAACACATCATTTTAAAATGAATACCTTCTCAGCTTCGCATCAAAGCTAAAATTGCAATAGTGAATTTAACATTTATTTATGAAATTCATGTGAGGCTAGTTTAAATCTACACTTTTAACATACATGAGTAACTGGATTAAAAAAAATCAATTAGTAGAAAAACATTTTTAAATAGCATGGTAATTCATGGTTAAACAGAGAGGTTTAAAACAAGAATATTTAAATGAGACTTTTTTATTTTAATTACATATTATAATATAAATATTTTAATTAAATTGGATTTATTTAATAGGAAAAAGTAATAATTCCAATGTATTTAAGTAAATAATATAAAATTTAACTTATGACATGTTTATAAATATATTTATATAAAAATCAATTTTAATTTGAAAAGTAAAATAAAATTTTTTTTTTCCTTTCACCAGCGTATGGAGAAACATTTAAGAGCACAGTTTACTTTATATTAGTTATATTTTCTAGTTAAGTTTCGTGTTACAAGGTGATTCATTAACTGTATCATAATATCTATGGAAGAGTTAATGAATTACCTACGTAATATCTTAATAGTACAAAATATATTACAATTTTTTATTTTTAGAAGTAAATAGTATCCTAAGATCTATAATTAAAAAAAACAATTAGTCTTACCCCTTCTATACCTTATATTTTACTCTCAGGATTGTTATTTTATTTTAAAAAGAAACATTTATGTTTAAATAGTTTAAAAGTAAGACAATAATCTAAATAAAAAAATGACTGTTCAATAATTACTGTTGAATGAGTACTTTAAAAAATACTTAGATATATTGAAAAATATATTAGCTCTTTTGTACTAAAGATGCGAGAGTAGTGCGGTTTATAAATGCCAAGAAATAAAATAAACAAAACTGCGCTTCACTTTCAGTCATCAATATAAAATGTTATTAACCTTCAATATACTGGTTCAAAAATAATTAACGATGCAGCGATGATGGGTCATATGTGTAGTTAGACTATATCCTTATTTTCAAACTAATTAAGCATAAATATCTCCAATTTAAAAATTGAATTGTCACTAATTTAAATAATTTTCGATTTTTATTCCCCTTCTCAATAGTTTTACATTTCTATGGCTTCTTTATGTTTTTGCTTACCTATGGTTTATTTTTATTTTTATATTTCTTTGGCTTCTTAATGTTGTGCAATTTTATGGCTTCTTTATATTTTTGTATTTCTATAGCTTCTCAATATTTTGCATTACTATGGCTTCTTAATGTTGTGCAATTTTATGGCTTCTTTATTTTTTGTATTTCTATGGCTTCTCAATATTTTGCATTACTATGGCTTCTTAATGTTGTGCAATTTTATGGCTTCTTTATATTTTTGCATTTTTAAGGCTTCTCAATATTTTGCATTACTATGGCTTCTCAATATTTTGCATTACTATGGCTTCTTAATGTTGTGCAATTTTATGGCTTCTTTATATTTTTGCATTTTTAAGGCTTCTCAATATTTTGCATTACTATGGCTTCTCAATATTTTGCATTACTATGGCTTCTTAATGTTGTGCAATTTTATGGCTTCTTTATATTTTTGCATTTTTAAGGCTTCTCAATATTTTGCATTACTATGGCTTCTCAATATTTTGCATTACTATGGCTTCTTAATGTTGTGCAATTTTATGGCTTCTTTATATTTTTGCATTTTTAAGGCTTCTCAATATTTTGCATTTCAATAGCTTCTAAATGCTATTGAGTTTTTCTCAAACTTAGAAATTTTTGTGTGAATTTATATATTTTTCCTATGGAAGATAATACAGTACTTTAATTTTTTAATTTTATAAAATATAATATGAATACCGGTCCTTAATCTAAATTTCTACTTGACACAATCCCCCGCAGCATCTATGCTCACATCAGCCATCCTCATATGACATACAATAACATCCCTCCCCCTCGTTTTTGGTCTTCCTCTACTTCTTCTTCCTTTAACATTCATTTCTATACTCTTTCTTATATGTTCGTTCTTTACCCAATATTCTTTAGTCACTACAATCATCCATCTAAGGATTTTCATCTTTGCTACACTAATTTTCTGTTCTATTCTATTGTCAACCGCCCAACACTCTGAACCATAGATCATAGCTGGTCTCAGCTACAATTTTATAGAACTTACTTTTCAGTCTCTTTGAAATTATCTCATCGCATAACACACACTAGGCGCTACCTTCACTTAACTCACATACAATTAATCCTGTGTCTTATATCCTCGTCCACACCATTGTTCTTTTGCACAACTGATCATAAATACTTAGAACTTACCACCTCTCTTATCACGTATTCCCTTATTGTCACTAATCTCCTCATTTCACCTACCTCGTGTTTTCAACAACAATACATTTATTATAATTAAAGTGAATTTTTAGGAGAGTAATTTTCTATATTACAAAGTTATAAATGTACATATAACATATTTAAGTATTAATGTACATGATTATACAAATTTATAATTAATATTTAAGTATTTAACAATGAAATAGTTAAATGACCAAATTTTCAAAATTTATTAAAATTGTAAGAAGTTAAGGTCACTATTTACATTGTATATTAAACGTAGGAGAGTGGAATGAAACAAATAATTAGTAGAAACGAGAGGTACATGATAGGGGGTAGTATTATGAGTTGGATGTGCAGTAACTGAAATTTTAATTTAGAAAGTACAGGGAATCTATCTCACTAGATGTAATTGTGGAAAGAAAACAAATGTTGGCTGTGTATTTTTTATTTGATAAAGATGATAGAAATCTTAAATGGGAGTTGAGTTATGAAGTGGATGTAAGATTTTAAGAATAAAAGCTGCAAAACGCAAAAAATTACTTTGAGCCCATTCAAACATAATAGAATCTGTGTATTTAAAAATTTACTTTTCTAAAATTAATTTAAAAAAATCAATTTATCATAATTACAATTGTTAAAATATTTGTATTATGTCTGATAAAAATGGTCATTAATTAATCTTAGTACATTTTTTCTATAATTCATAAAATATCAATATCAATATTCTTGTAACATGTTTTGTGGTGAATAAAAAAACTCAGTTATTTAGTGTATTCAATGGTTTTCATATGTTTTTCGGGGGTATTAAAGACATATAATTTTCAAATATATCGAATAACCTATTTGATAGTTTATATTTCTAAAAATGTTCACACAAGTATTGATTTAAAAACATGATGCTTGGTTAATGTATGTGGTTTATGGAAGGAATTATTTCGAAAAAAAACCTATTTTACTTTTTTGACACAAAATATCTTAGGTATTAATAATTTTTCGACATAAAACATTGTTACAAATTAAAAATTGTACCTAACAAATATTTTACTCAATAAGATTAGTTTTTGTGTTAATGTTTAACAAGATAATAACTTTAAAATATATATATTTTTTTTAAGTCAATAAATTCTAACGAGAAACATAAATGAAAAACATCATATTATAAGCTTCAATGTATTAAAAAAAAAAATGGTGGATTTGTGCTATAAATGTTTTAAATTAAAAAGTAAATAAAAAATCTTAATTGTGAATCGAATTTTGTTGATTATAATATAATCAACAAATTTCGGTTAAAATATTATATATAACCACACATATTTATATAAATGCACAATATGTCAAATTAATATAAGATTATTTCGTTACCAAAACATAGTTATCATTGCTATTATAATATCTATCCCAACTATTTGGCGTCGCTCTTCCTTTACTATTTTACAGAAATTTACACCAGCTGTCTAACTAACAGTACCTTAATATGGCTGAAGGAAGCAAGTATGGGGTCAAATTGTGCGCCGCTGTTAAAAGCTCCTATATGATCACCCATCCGGGAACCAACAACAAATAGCTCAACTGAACGTCAACGCTAAAGCGGCAACTGAATGATCCACTGCGCCACATAATGCATCTCTGTGACAAACTCATGTATTACTGTAGTAAAGTAAGTTAATATATTACGAATTCAAAGATAAAACATGTTCATATTTTTCTATTAGCATGTATTTACATTATCTGAACAATTAATTAAGGATGAACTAACATTAAGTCTTATAAAGAATTAATAGTACATAATAAATTTATCAGATAAGTTATAATAATGTTTTGACAGAATTAGTTTACACATATAAGCTACATCAGATAAATGTAAATGCTATGCTCCAATTTTGTAAAATATTAATTTAATCATTTTCTTGACATAGTGATTAGTTGTATGGGAATTTTTTTTTAAAGTTAAATGCACTTTAAACTTCTTAGAAATACAACAATAAATGAATTATTTTACATAGTTTAATTAAAAATCAATTAATAAGGTTAATGAATAATTTAGATTTAGTCGCTAATTGTAATTGAATTTATCGATAAAATACTGCTTGTGAGGAAACAAACCAAAGATATGAATAAAATCTTCTAATTTCGTAAGGAATTTTGAATATGTTCCTTTATGAAAAAATATAAAAATTTCAAAGGTGGCAGCTACCAAACAGCTCCCTTTTCCACCCGTAGTGCATAAGATCAATACACACACACACACACAACAGTCATTATGAAACTGGTTTGCTCGTGTTACGACAGTGGCGGTGCAGCTATTCAAGAGTACAACTGTTGATGCCGTTCCGTACACACGCCGTTCCAGTAGATTTCAACCGCACTTGTTGTGACGTTAGTGTCTGTCGCGCGCACTCTTTCCGGCGATTTTTGTTTTTAACATCTATATGATGAGCCTCCCTTTTGTGTATGTTTATTTTATTGGTATTTTTTTATTAGTTTGTGACTACGATGATTTTAAAAATGAAATCAACCTACAGTGAATTTTATAATTCTTAAAAAATAACTGTGTTTTTCTAATTTCAAAAATAACATTTAGTATTTAGTATTTCGAGTGTGAGTGATTGTGTTAGAATTTATTTAAATGGTTAAAAAAACTTCAAAAGACTCAGATCCAATCATGGTAAGAAATTTTTCATGGATTATTTTTAAATCTAAATTCATCCTCAAGGATCAATAAGTATTCTTACTGATAATTAAAATGAATAATTATCTGAAAGAAATATAAGTGAACAATTAAAACAAAATTTTAATATAATAATAAGTTTAATAATTATCTGTTATTTAAATTGTCTTAATTTTTGTAGTTTTCTTAATCTAGTTTAATTTAACCGTCATGCAGTAGAAAATATAAATTTTACAATTGAAAAATATTCATTTTCAAATTTAAATGCTTAAAAAGCAATAAATTTAACTCTATTTTTCTTCAGCTACAATTCTACAAATCAACTCGACAAGTTTTTTTTTATTATTTTACAATGAATAATACAAAAATATATTTCAACAATTTCGTAGAAAATCCTGATAGATATTTTGTTAAACAAAATTAACTTCGTCCTTTGAAAATGTTCAAAAAATCATGAAAGTATCAATGTAATCAAGTTTATCTACAAAATGTCACAAAAATCAAGTTTAACTACTCCTTATTGTTGAAATTTATACTTGATTGTTTATGAAAAAAATGCTATTATTAATTTTCATGTTTACCTTTAACGATATAATTGTTTTTCGCGTTAGCTTTTCAACAAATCACTTCGTTTTATGTTCATATGTTTTATTTTCTGTAAACGATTCTTTTGCAATAGTCAATTGAAAAAAAGTATAAATATACGTAAATTACTTACTCAGCGTATAACAATTTAAATTCTGACAGTAAGAAATATATATATTTTTTAATTAATTTTTAAAATAAGAAATTAATGCGTGGGATGTTTTCGTGTAATAATTTAAGTACATGATCGAGTTAATAGTAAAAAACGTAGATTGAATACTCATAAAACTAAAAATCATAAATCGTTTTTCTTGGGGGAAAGACTATAAAAATTAACGACCATTTGTATGTTTGACGAATGCATAACTTATTTTTACTATAGTCACATTGTTGGAGTTAAAAAAGAACTATTAATTGTCTGTAATCAAATTATTTCTTATAAATTGTTGATCACTTTGCGACCAACCCAATTATTTTTCCGAATAGCTAAATTTCTTCAGCATGCAAATTTGTTAATAATCAACATAACGGATATCTTGAACGCTATTTGATTACTAAACGGTATTATTCGAATCAACCGGAAAACAGCTTTCGACTTACTTATCGATTCTGTTATTAAATATTATATACCAGTTTTACGCAACAACATATAGACGTGTAAAAAAATATTATCACTTATTATTACAGTTTTCGAAGTCGATAAATAAACTCTAGGGAATGTTTTACAAGACAGAGACGCATTCTTACTTACTTTCTCGACAGTTTAAAGTAAACGGCTATAACTTAATTATTGTCGACCTACAACTATAAAATACTATATCTAATGTAAATTGCCTATTTGTAATCCGATATTTGTTCTTCAATATTAACCATTTTATAATTGTAAACCTTTTTTAACTTCTCTATGAGATTCTCTAACTAATTAACTTATGTACGCCTATATGTAACCAATTTTGTTGGACTTGATAGTAATTATTGTTTTTTTTTTTTTAAGCGTTGTAATTGTTATTATCTCGCTTTTCACAAAACCAAATGTTATTTAAATTTCTAAGTATGGGTTTAAAATATTTAAAATGCGTAACTAAATAAGCTTAAAGTTATTTAAAATTGACAATAAAACCAGGATAAATTAATTATGTCGCCGTAAGTGCCTACAACCGGAAACTACTATGTGTACTCTGTGCAGTCAACGTGAAACTTTTCAAACCATAATTTTCTTAACTGTTCATTAAAACTATTAATCCACACACGTCAGATAATCATTAAGATTTAACTGGACATAGAAAACGCCTCTTGACACTCTTACACAACGACTATTAATTTAAATGTTTTTGTTATCAATTAATTTCTATAATCGTACTTTGAATTACATACATCATTAAACCTTTCTTAAAAAATAAAACTTTTTGTACTTTAGATTATTGCGTCAAACCATTTTCAATCAGTCGTGATAAAATTATTCTATGACTGACAGAATGAATGAAATAGAATAAAACCGTTGTTTGGCTGACCTTCTTAAACATATTTAGAGTGATTGAATAGTTAACAGTTTTAAACATAATCAATTTGTTTATTTAGTTTTAATCTAAAAAATGTAATGAAAATATAATCTAGGCCAAGTTATAATACTCGTTTCATTCATATATACAAGTCTTTTTAGGTAGTATATTTTTATTTTTTTTTTTTTTAATTTTCCTTGATTACAAAAGCAATTGGTAATAAAATTTCGGCAATAAACAAAAAAATAACGTTAGTTGGCTTTTACTTCTTTCAGATGGATACAAATGATCATTGAAGTAGTATAACTACTTCAACGGTCTATATCAGTAGAATCCGCATAAAATTTATAATGATTCTTTTTTATGGTCTAGTTTTAATATAAGCGTCTATTTACTACTCACATTTATTTGATACTATAACCGCTCTTTGAAATACAAATCATAATAATACATACAATTTTTATTTTATGTTTTTGTGGAACTCATAATGAATGTATATTTGCACGTTTTATGGTTTACATATAACTTGTATTAACTTACATGTAAATCCGTTTATAAATTTGGCTCTGTATGTAAGTACAAATTTTCGTGGGAATATGTACCACTTAACAATGTCGGTCACGAGGTTTTATCGTATATTTCTCTTTGTTATCCGTGAAAACTGCCGTGATCGTTAGGGCCAGTCTGTGAGAAAAAGAGTCAAAGAAAATTACCAACCACGTATCTTCAAACATATTGTTGTTATTTTCGCATATTGTTCGTTTAGACTAAACGGCATTAGTTTTACTATCATTTACACACGCACATGGTTTCGACCATATTATTAGCGATGACGAACCACAAATACCAAAATACAGCAGATGAAAATGGTTGCGTGCCTTATCCACCTGCAGCAACATCTCACAGGCCATAAAAGTTATACCGAACGTTATTCTTAACACCATTTTTTACATTATTAATAATATCAATACCGTATGGTATAAATAGTACGTATAGCAGTCTAAAGAAAATAGCTAAAAAAATATCGACTGTTTCAATTAGTATCGTACTTGATGAATTATTTTTTGTCTAAAATGGGACTGTATAATCCAATTAGTTGTGCACTGTGGTCAATTATGATTATACTAGACTACTATTAACGATAATGAACAAAGGATTTCGTTTAACGGTACCATTATGTATGGTAGTGCAAGTGTAACTGTATACTCAAATAATAATAATAATATTCATTATAATTTACATTACTTATGTGAGTGAAAAATAGAATGTCAACGTATTACTATATTTAACGTGATACATTCGTATGCCAGAGAAACGGGTTAATACTAATTTATTATTGATGTTATTTGTGTTTCTCTTTTTGGACCAGTTCAAAATTGAAATGAAATTTAAATATCTAACAGTATCCATGAAATATGTTTAAAAATAATCAAGTAAATAAACCGTATGAGAAATTAACTACATGTAAATATGTGATTATCAAACTTGATGAAAATGTTTAATAAATTACTATTTATATCATTTGACATAAGAAACAATTGGTTACATTTCGATGTTTAAATACTATTTGTTTGACATTATGGATACTGTTGGTTATAATACCGTCATCTACATAAATATAATCTGTGTTATAATTATGTAAAATACTCGAGTAAATAAATTCTTTTCCGGTCATTAAGTCAACGGTGTTTTTACCTGTTGCTGTTTTCTGGTACACTAAAATACACCATATATACCTAGCGCAGTGGTCGTTTTCACCGATACAGCTGGTCGCGTGTAGATGGTGTGCGTAGGACTTGGCTAGTGCAGAGTGTATCATCCCGTGCGGTAAGTGTAGCTGGCGTGTCTTGTAACTTTAACGTTTATCGGCTTCATGTCACAGCCTCCGGTCGTTACGTCTTATAAAATTACTGAAATAATTATTATCATTTAGACATGAAACGATGAGCAACGCCTGTAACGTGTCTGAAGGTCATTAGTATAAGCGAACATTATTTATGTGGAACGCCTGGAAAAACAATGGACTTTACTCGTCTGTCCCCCTGAGTTAAAACTGCGCTTATATTGGACAAGTACCACTCTTGATCACTGCGATGCCTAAGGCGAGTATTCGATCAACTACGACCTCATGTCGTCAGTGTCAGGAATAAGAGTGTCGAAGACGCATTGTTTTTGACTTTTGAACTGATATGGACATTGATGGCTGAAAAAAAATGTAAAGGGGCTATTATACGAGGCGGCAAAATTTATACAAAGAAATCACAAGAGCGCATCACACGTCATGAAGCAAACCATCAAAGACTGAGATTTTCATTATAATATGATATGAAATATGTCTTATAATATTATGTATATTCTTATTGCCTATAATTCTATCGCGATTCAGAATATAGTTGGTTAGTTATGCTAACGTGAAATTAATTATTACAACATTTTTACTGGCAGGCAATAGGTCATAGTGCATAAATATTGCTTTACAACATTGTATAAATGTCGTTAAAGTCTCCGAAACCAACATAACATAAATGACAACAGTAATGTATCACACAACGGGTGTGCGAGTTTCTTCTACATAGGCATCATATCATAGTTTATCAGAGCATTTGTCTTGAAATATTAATGGGTTTTCTCACGCTACAGTGTATGCCACCCGCAATACTTAGCTATTCATTATTACTCAACGTTAAACAATAGATTAACTTAGTATGATTATTAGTTTATTCATTTATAGCAACACAGTCACTTAATAGCGATTTGTTGAAAAATTTAAAGGATGACTGTAACAATAAACATCAACTAACCATTTAACTGATTAATAAAATATTTTTCACAATAAATATTTAGACATATTAAAGTTTAATTAAGATATATTGATAAAATGTTCATTAACTAAATTAATTATTTTTATAATTA